GGTCGGGTAGGGGGGCAACACTGGGGGTTGGGATCCGTTGCCGGACACGGAAAGAGACAAAAAAAAAAAAAAAAAAAAAAAAAAAAAAAATACATTCTATAGATCCTCTGTGAAAATGAATAATTCACCTTATGTGAAGTTCACAATCTGGAATGTGGGTTTCTCCTATTATGACTGTATTCATACAGTTAGCAAATTTTCCTGCTTGCTATGGACAGCCTTGTTAAGAGCACTTAGCACTTACCATTGTAATTTTTTCTTCAGTATTGCCTTTTGCTTTTCCAAAGTTTCTGTCTCTTTCAGCTACCTCTGTGAAATACTAATTTCTTATTAAACTATTTCAATTTTGCTCTACCTTAACCCTATTCTAGTTTTATTTATCTTTATTTTTTTTTATTTTTTATTTTTTTAAAGATGACCGGTAAGGGGATCTTAACCCTTGACCTGATGTTGTCAGCACCACGCTCACCCAGTGTGCAAACCGGCCATCCCTATATGGGATCCGCATTATCAGCACCGCACTCTCCCTAGTGAGCCACGGGCCGGCCCTAGTTTCATTTATCTTTATCAGATATAAATTTTATTTGATTTTAGAGCTCAATTACTTTCCTGAATACAAATTCCTTTCTTTCCTTGTCCTTAGGAGCTGCCAATTTCTAGTTGGGAAATTGTCAAAATAAAATTTTATATAATAAAACGTGCTTTTTAAATAATTATAGGATAACATCTACAATAAGCAAGCAAGAGCTTTTCTAAACAATAAATGGTCTTTTAATCTACTTGTCTTACCAGTTTTAGGTTTTTGGAGAAGAAAGTTATACCATGTTGAAGTATTTTGAACAACAGTTTTTACTTTTTAGGCATATTCTTTAGTGGATCGTGAGGTTGGTTACTGTCAAGGAAGTGCTTTTATAGTCGGATTGCTGCTTATGCAGGTAAGTTAGTACAAATATTAAATGTCCAATTAAGTTCCTTATTAAAGTTTCATTGGAGAGTTTAAAAATTATCTGTTTTTATTAAGTATAAGTGGATATTGAATATTTTTCCCCAGTTATAATTTGAATAGAAATATTTAATTTGCACTTTAAAAGATTGAAAATGTTGAAATAACATATAATATCTTGCCACCAAATGAAATTTCAGCTTCTTGGTATATACACTTATACCATAATATTCTACTAAAGCCTGTATTTACTTTTAAGTCTTAACTATTTGTCAGCATTTGAGTAATCTTTTCCCAACAAAGGAGGACATGATAAATCTGTTGGTATGAAAATCTTATTTATGTTGAGTAATATCTTTGGCAATTTATTCAGAATTTTACTTGTCATGGATCTACGGGCTTGTTATGCATATCTTGCTATAGCCTCTAAATAGTGGTACTCAGCCACCTTTACTGCCCCAGGAATATAACATTGGCAGTGACTTATTTTGGAGTGGGTCTGGGTGGGATGTTTTTAGAATTCAGGGACACAACAATCAAAGCTTTGCAGGGAAATATCAGATAGTGATATCTCTTTAGCTTGTTGAAATTTTTTTTAAAGAGGCCATCTTACTCTTTATCTTACTCTTTAGTCTCAGAATTTTACTCTTTTTTTTTTTTTTTTGTCTTTTTCCGTGTCCGGCAACGGATTGCAACCCTCAGTGTCGCCCCCGTACCGGACCGGGACCGGCAACGGGATCGCAACCCTCGGCGTTGCCCCCGCGCCTCGCTCAGCCAGTGAGCGGGAACCGGTCTGTATGTGGGATCCGAACCCTCGGCGGGAGCGCTGCCGCGCTTCTCAAGCGGCGCACTAGCGCAGTGCGCCACCGGGCTGGCCAGAATTTTACTCTTTAGTCTCAGAATTTTAGTCCTGAGAAGGAATCTTGGAGATAATTCATGTATTTATTTATTGGCAGCTGGCAAGTATGGTGATCCGTCAAAGGGTGTTTTGTCAGCTGGAATTATAATAGAGAGAAAGACAAGGTAATTGTGGATTTAAACAAATGACTAAATATTACAGGGTCATCAGGAAAATGAGTACAGGAAAGAGTTGGGAACAGAAAAAAAGATAGTGTAGTATAAATGAATGGTAGGCCTGGCAAGGCCAGATAATTGTAAATACTTCATGTACATTAATCTTCATTGCAACCCTGTGAAATATGTACTATTATTTTACTCATTTGATAGATGGCAAAACTGAGCAATAGAGAGGTTAAATAATTTGTCCAAGGCCACATAGTTATGGGAGAAACTGGGATTTCAACCTTTGGTGTGGCTCCAGAGCCTGAGCTAATAACTACCTACCAGGATCATTGGAGGAAAGAAGTCAAAGATCTCTTAGGCCAGAGAATTAATCTTTATGAAAATGACTACAGGGTTGGTGGGGTGGGGAGGTGACCCAGAAGTTTGTAGGTACTGTGAAAAAGAGGAGTAAATGGATAATATCTGTTGGCATGTGTTGGAATTCAGTGGAAGTGGCTATAAGGTTCAAGGAGGGATATATACTTCGCTAACCCCAGTGTCCTTTCATTGCTACAGGAGAGAAAACTACCTTAGGAGAGAGCCAGGTTTCAGCTAAAGGAAGAGTTTAGGAATATTTGGAAAAGAGACTGAGGATATAGGTAGAATATTTTGTTGATGGCAGATTATGAGTTCCAGAAAGTGCTGTGAAAAAGATTTAGGAAAGATTGGAAATGGGTTCAGATTACGGAACAGTAGAACTATATAGGATGAGAATTCTGGGATCCTGGGCTTCTTGTAGTGACTGACATAAATCAATGGGACTGCAGAGCTTAGAGTTAATGTAGATGGTATCCAAGGCAGAATTGTGGCTGTGTGTGTTGGGAGGAAGGAAGGAAGTGTGGGTTTCACCAAGTAACTCTTGGTACCTGTCCATGGCTGTGTCAAGGCCAGGGAAAATGTATTGTTTATTAGCAACAGTATTTAGTAAGAAGAATGCCTGGAGATCGTTTGGGGTATTTTCTTTTGAAATACAGTGGCATAATGTGAGTGAATGAGAATAAGCAAATATTATTATTTTTTAAAAGATGGCTTGACAATTGGATAATGTTATTTTATTTTTATTTTTATTTATTTATTTTTTTAAAGATGACTGGTAAGGGGATCTTAACCCTTGACTTGGTGTTGTCAGCACCACGTTCTCCCAAGTGAGCCACAGGCTGGCCCTTGGATAATGTTATTTGCTTAGGTATTCTGAATATCTTTGTAGCCCTTCACAGCTTTCACATCCATTACCCTATTTAATATAATTTCCTGGTGGTTACACATAAAATGTGAAATTGGTACCTTTCAGAAACCTCAATTATAGATCACTTGCAAACTTATTTTACAAATTCATTTAACACTTATGCCATATCATATAACTTCTGCCCAGAATCCTGGAAAGCCTTCCCATCTTACTAAGACAAAAGTCAAAATCCTCACAGTGGCCTCTAAAGCCCCACGTATTTTGGTTCCCTGTTATTTCACCTCCATAGCCTAACCTCCACTCATAACATTACTTCAAATACAGTAGTCCCCTATTTGCTGTTCCTTGAGCATGCCAGCTGTGCTTCAATTTCAGGGCCTTTGTACTTTTGTCTTCCAGGACTGTTCTTTCCTCAGATGCCCCTTTCAGGATTCTGGTCAAATGTTACCTTATCAAGGGACCTTCTCTGACCTACATAAATAGCAATGTATCTCCCCAGTACTCCTTATTATCCTACTTTATTTTATTTCCGTAATACTGGTCACCATCTGACATATGTATTAGTTGATTAATTCTGTGTACTGTCTTTCTCCTCCCACTAGAAAGTTCAAGCTATTTGAAAGTAGAGTTGTGTTTATTTTGTTCACTGGTATATATGCAGAGAGAGAAAAGTTATTTGGCTCTAAATGATTATTTGCTGGTTGAATTAATTAGTAAGTTGAGGCAGTTTCAGAGGTTGTAAGATTTGTCTAACTTCTAATTCTTGGTGATAGAATGGGAGACTAGAACTTTCTGATTTTTAGTCCATTGCTCTTAATGTTGTGTCAGATGATCACTCAAAAGAGTGTTTATGGTTGGATGGGTACTTGGCTTATTTGCGTATCACAGAACATTAACATAGGTTGCTTTTTTCCTCCTAATGTAGATGCCAGAAGAAGAAGCTTTCTGTGTATTTGTTAAATTAATGCAGGATTATAGACTTCGTGAACTTTTTAAACCAAGTATGGCAGAATTGGGCCTTTGTATGTACCAGTTTGAATGCATGATACAGGTAAAAAGTGTAGTGTTGAGAAAAAGGCAATTAATTGCATTTGTATTTTTTGTCATATTGGTCTGAGTGACAACTAAGAAAATGTAATGTTAAAAGCATTAAAGCAGTTGAGAAAAAAATCAGTGTTTTAATCATGTGGTCATTTGTTGGTTGGCTAACACAATTTAGACCTTGCTTTTTAAAAAAAATTTATTATTATTATTATTATTATTTTTAAGACCTCACTTCTAAATTAGGCGCTATCTGCAGGTAGATTATAGCCTGGAACTTGACTGCAATTTTCATATTCAAATTTTAACCATTTGTGCCAAATGTACTATAAACCCATTACCTAAGCACATGTGAGTTTCCTTATATCCTATTAATGTTATATAGTGTAGACTGTCTTATAAGAGCTTTGTGACATTATGATACTGATGTCAGTCCATTTACTTTGAGTCTCTTTCAATCTTCTCCCCTTCCTGTCCCTTTTTATTTTACTTTTTAGCTAGCCTGTAACCTTTTTTTTTCTCATAGTGTTTACATCATTTTATGTTGCTAGTTTAAGACTCATATTGTCTAGTGACTACATGAGGGTGGAGAGAAGAGGAGGAGTGGGATCAAAATCAAGTGAAAAATACCTTTGAAATATTTTATCTTTCTGGATTTAATTTTTATATTTTATATATATGAATATGTTTACTATATTGTCCTGTAATGGTATAAGTATTCTCATTTGCTTAAATTTCAATTAAATGAGAAGAATGTAAGGTTAGTGGTTCAGCTGGCATGAAAGCCATTTTTAAGTCCCCTTTTCCCTGGCAGCCTAATCCACAGGAATTATAAAATCTTTAATCTCTTCTATGTGTGGTGGGAGGACAGTGATATGTTAAATGTTTTACCTTTTTTTTTTTTCTTTTTGGTGGTTGGCCAGTATAGGGATCCAAACCCTTAACATTGGTGTTATCAACACTGCACTCTAACCAACTGAGCCAACTGGCCAGCCCTGTTTTTACATTTTAAAGAAAAAGCCAAAATAGGACTTGAGATGATTCTTAATTAAAATTTTTTTTCTGAATTATTAAGCTTGTTTTTATCGATCTTAAACTCTCTTAGTGTTACATTTTTAGTTTAATGCATCATTTATGTTTTGAATTACTAGAGTGTCTGAAGCATCTGTATTTTGGGTATTTTTCCTATTCCTTAAGAAGGTAGGGATAGGTGATCAATACTAGATAGCACCTGAAACTATTTCAGCATAGCATTTCCTTTCTTATAAAAATATTTTTTGAACTATAATACTTGATAGAAATGTATAGAAAATATCAGACATCATGTACCCACCAATAAGATTAAATAAATATAGAAGTTTTGTTTCAGTTTTTCTTTTATTAAAAATCAAATGTTATAGATACACCCAAAGCTCCAGCTCCACATCCTTTTCCCCTTCATCTCTTCCCAGATAGCCATTATTATCCTGAATGTGTCAATTTCTACATCTTAATTTTTCCATATGATGCTTGATCTTATCTTCGTGTTTGGTATAGGCTAATCTAGTTAAATACAATGATCTAATTTAAAATACTCAATTTCCCTATGATTTAACTAATTCTTTTCTTCTCTTTAGGAGCATCTTCCAGAGCTCTTTGTACATTTTCAGTCTCAGAGTTTTCATACCTCAATGTATGCATCATCCTGGTTTCTTACTATCTTTCTTACAACTTTTCCACTACCAATTGCAACAAGGATATTTGATATCTTTATGTCTGAGGTAAGCTAATGGGCAGACTAGAAGCAAGAGCTGAGTAAAGGGGTCGTTGAGTTAATTAGAGCAGGGCAATGAGGAGAGCAATAAGGGAGACCCATGTGTCCCATGCTAAACTGCCTATGTGGGATAAGCTTATTTAAACCTTATAATATCTACCTGGTACTGTTATTGTCCTCATTTGTTAGATGATAGACGAGGAAGCTAAGACTTAAGGAAAAGCTAAATAGCTTTTCTGTGGGCACACAGCACTTAAGTGGTATAGTAACCACTATTTAAATGTAGACAGTGAAATTCTGAAGCCCATACTCTTAATCAAACCTCTTTATCACCTCCTGACTTACACAGTGAGTTATTGAGAGGTAAAATTTGCCTGACAATTAATATTGTAATGCATCGATTATCCAAAGTGTAAGAAGTAATTAGTATAGTTAAATTTCTTCTGTGAATGTTTTGCATGTTGTTCTTTTAATTGTCATTGACACGTAGTAGTGATCCTTTTTTTTCTATTCTCTGAACCCCATGTTAATTGTTACTAATTACATTTTGGGAAGGTCAATTTGTATTACCTATCTAAGTTACTTTAGATTGGAATTGGCATTCCAAAATATGTACCAATCGTCCTGGTTTGCCTGCCAAATCTGTCCTTCCATCTGCTTTTATAAATAAGGTTTTCTTGGAACACAGCCCTGCCCATTTGTTTATGTGCTGTCTGTGTCTGATTTGGGGCTACAATGGCAGAGTTGAGTAGTTGTGACAGAGACCATATGGCCCACTAAGCCTAAAATATTTGCTCTCTGGCTCTTTACAGAAAATGTTTGCCAGCCCCTAGTTTAGATCCCTAAATCTTTACCTTAGTATTATTTTGAGTAATGAGTTTTTGTTGATGAAAGAGTAAGACAAATTTGACTTTATTTAATTTGTTCCTCAGGGTTTAGAAATAGTGTTTCGAGTAGGACTAGCGCTTCTTCAAATGAATCAGACAGAACTGATGCAACTTGACATGGAAGGGATGTTACAGGTAAGTCACTTTATGATATCATATTTATGATATCTTGAATGTCCTTAGATTTTACTATTAATTATTTAATAATAAACAGTACAAGTAGTTCTTACGTTTTTCTTTTATTGTTTCTTAGCACTTTCAGAAGGTCATTCCACATCAGTTTGATGGTGGTCCAGACAAATTAATACAAGCAGCTTACCAAGTGAAATACAATTCAAAAAAAATGAAAAAGTAAGTCTTTTATATTTTTTTGTTTTTGATTATGGAGGTTGTTGAAGCACATAGGAAATTCAATGGAAATGACAAAACATTCTTGTGATAAGTACATTTTTCCGTTTTAGATTATAGAACTGCATTATTATATTTGGTGGTATTGGTTTCAGTATCACATAAAGCTAATGTTGGAATGTCATACTATTTTTAATAGCAGTGCATGGGACTACTGTGTACTACCTTTAAAATTCCCATTTCCTTTTCCACATTGACAGGAGTTAGGAACCTGGTATGGGTATATATGTGAGTGTGCTATTATATTAAAAACTACTTTTATGGTGTGGTCCCATTCGGTGATGTTCTTTTCCTCTCAGTTTGACCCCAGAGTGTCACTTAAGTTCGAGATTTGCGTAACAAGCATGGTGTTATGACACCAAGACCATAAAAAAAAAAACCAAAGCATAACCAGCAAGATAGACAAGAGGTATGGATTGAGAACTTAAAATTTTATTCATTGTGTTGCTTTCTAATGAAGCTTTTCTTGGTATATATTTCATAAAAGTTTAAGATAAGCTGTCTTTGCTCATTAGTTTTATTCTTGAAATAGGGTAAGTATACTAATTAAGAATGTTAGCTGTTATTCTTCTAGCTTCCAATGCTTAAATAATTCTTAAGTATGAGGTCATAGCATTCCTGACACTAGATTCTATGGTATAAAATGCTGTAAAATGATAACAGTACAATATGCTAGCAATTATCAATATCTTTGATAATTAAGATAAAATGAAACTACATTAACATGTACAGCGTACTCCCATGGATGTTCCTACTCCAGAATGTATATTAGAATATAAGTGAGAATTATTTTATTAAAATTAGTTAGCTCTAATTGGCAAAAGCAAGCCAATTTATGAGTTTCAACTTTTATTATTAATAAATTACTGTGACATTTCTTATAACCACTGTCATGTTGAAGCATTATAGACTGAAAAGCTGCTCTATTCTGTAACTGATAAAAACTTGAAGAAGTCATCTCAATTTTTGCTTTTTGGTAAAATCACATTTAAATCACACTAGTTAAAAAGAGAATTTATTTTACCTTAAAAGTCTGATAGAGAATGAGTTTCTGTAACCTTCTTGGTTACTGAATCTCCTTTTAGATTTTATCACCTGTACAATACATTTCCAAAACTTCAGTTATCCTGTTTATTTATCAAATTTCTGACCCTCTAGTTCTTTCACTCCTTTACTAATACTATCCCTGTTGTGCTTTATCAAGATCCCTAGTCTTATGTCTGATAGCCTTCCTCTTGTCTGAATAAGTATACCTCTTCTGCCTTTTTGTATCTTTTATTCATGTAGCTGTGTTATTGCATAGTTAGTGAGATTGCTGACAGTAAATTATGTTTCCAGTGCCCCTCCAGGTATATTTATATTAGCTTTGAGTAATTCTCCCATTCCCTACAGTGGTAATTTCAAACCTTACTATTCTTCCCAAGCTCCCATCCCCCTTTTGCCATATCTAATTTTCAGGAGATTACCTTATTCTTAATTCATCAGCCATCATTTTCTGTTCTTTCTCTCTCTCTCTCTCTCTCTCTTTTTTTTTTTTTAGCAAAAATGTTTAATATTTCCTTAATTGTGTGTTTATTTACAAGTATTTTTCTTTCTCTCTCTCTCTCTCTCTCTCTCTTTTTTTTTTTTTTTAGCAAAAATGTTTAATATTTCCTTAATTGTGTGTTTATTTACAAGTATTAAATCTGAAGAACAGTAAAATAGGAGGCAGCTGATAGTTACGTATCTGAGGGCTGAGCTCCGGTCAGCTACACTGCTTCTGTGAGAAGCAGTGGCCGAGGGCTTGTCAGATTAGACCATCCAAATGATCACAGGCTCGAAGTATATCAAGGGGCCAGGCTCCTAGGCCAAAGTGTGAGGCATCTTGGGCACTCCTGAGACTGAGTCCTGGGAAGGGAGAGATACCCTGGGCGTCAACATCCATTATTTTCAGACTTCTTGAACTTTTTGTCCTCCATCTTATAGACTTAGCCATTTTCTTTTTTTTCCCCTTTTCAGAATACAGGGTGCTATTCATTTACATACCTTTCAGGTCCTTTCTCCATTAGTCATTCCTTCTGTTTTTTTTATCTTCAACCTCTCTCTCTCTGTTATTTCAATTTCTTCAATCTAAGAAGGTAATTTTGACTTCTGACCTAGAAACAACACAACGAAACCTTTGTCAGCTTAGCATTCTGTTCTCCTTTATGAAGCTTAACTGTGAAGGAAAAGAATAATTTATAATCATTAGCTCCAGATCATATTTCACCCCCCCCTTCCCCAATTGGGAAGATTTTCAAGCATACAGAAAAGTAGAATTATAAATATTCATATGCTTATGATTTACGTTTAACAATTGTTAATATTTTGCCATATTTATTTTATTTCTTAGATATGTCAATTTTAAAAATTGTGACAGTTCACTCCTAATACTTCAGTAGTCATCTCTATAAAATAAAAGCATTTATCTCCCCTACCACATTACTTTTACCACTTAATAATTTTGTAGTAGTGCCTAATACCCAGTCTGTGTTCACATTTCCCCAGTTGTGCCAGAAATGGCTTTTGCCATTGATTGCATTGCATTCAGTTGTTCCACCTCTTAGATTTAATTTAGATCAGCACTGCCTACTCCAAACCCTCTTTTTAGTATATTGATTTGATGAAGAGAGCAAATCAGTTGTGCAGAGAATATCCAATCTTAAGGATTTATCTGATTATTTCCTCATAATTTCATGACACTTCTCTATCTCTTGTGTTTTCTGTAAACTGGAAGCTAAATGTAAAGGCTTAATTAGGTCAACAGCAGGAGTACTTTTTTTTTTTTTTTTTTTGTCTTTTGTCTTTTTCCGTGTCGTAATAACTTCGTATAGCATACATTATACGAAGTTATACGATTTAATTCGAACATTACTTTTACCACTTAATAATTTTGTAGTAGTGCCTAATACCCAGTCTGTGTTCACATTTCCCCAGTTGTGCCAGAAATGGCTTTTGCCATTGATTGCATTGCATTCAGTTGTTCCACCTCTTAGATTTAATTTAGATCAGCACTGCCTACTCCAAACCCTCTTTTTAGTATATTGATTTGATGAAGAGAGCAAATCAGTTGTGCAGAGAATATCCAATCTTAAGGATTTATCTGATTATTTCCTCATAATTTCATGACACTTCTCTATCTCTTGTGTTTTCTGTAAACTGGAAGCTAAATGTAAAGGCTTAATTAGGTCAACAGCAGGAGTACTTTTGGCAAGAATATTTAATAAGTGATACTGTGTATTTCATATTCACCTAAAAAGATGCATAATGTCTATCTGTTTCATTGATATAGTGATGCCGTGATTGATGACTGGATTAAGGTAATAACAGTCAGATTACTTTGTTATAAAGTTATATTTTCCCTCTTGCAACCAGTGAATACTCTGTAAATTGATACTTTGTCACTATGAGAATATTCAGTTCATTGTGATCTTCTACCTCTTGGCCCACTCTGCTCGAAAGTTTCATTGGTGATACTTTTCATTTTTATTTTTTATTTTTTATTTTTTTATTTTTTTTTTTAAATAATTTCATTTAGGTTAACAAAACCATGATTTTCTTAATCTGCCATTCTTATTGCATTTATTTGTTGGCTTCATTAACTGGAGCTAATTTTGCCCTACTGGAAACACATGTAAATGCTTCGTTATTTCCCTTTAATTAACAATTCCCAGAGAAAGGAGTTAATGGAAATGATGTTCTTTTAAATTATTCTTTCTTTTTAGTGGTGGGCATTGTTAAGGACTTATGGGCTTATATTCAGTATGCTTTAATCTAATGTAGTCATTATTTTTGTTGCTCAAATAGTCTTAATTTTAGCCAGTAGGAGCCCTTTTAAGATGGCTTCTGTGTCCTTTTTACATGACTTGACTAGTCTCTGAACATTCCCTTGTTTTCAGGTACAAACAATGTTTCAGCTTCAATATGTATATTTTCTGCCGCAGACTTGGTTTCTTTTAGTGAGGAGTAGTATTTAGAGAATAAAATCTGGATGTAAGGTGTCTTCATTATTATGTAGGATATCATAGCTTTTAGAATTTTGTGTGTGTGTTGGGGGGTGTTGGCTGGTAAGGGAATGCAAACCCCTAAACCTTGTTGTTATCAGCAAGCTTTTAGGATCTTTCAGTGGATAGAATTAGAAAATAAATATGACTTCATACAATTTCTTAACCATTTCTTAACCCTTTGTAATCTGGTGTCTGCTCTTACTGTTCCACTAAAACTACTTCTTTGGAAATCTTCCTTTTTATTCATTTATTCAAGAAATATTTCTTGAGTTATATAGTATGTGCTGATACTGTTCTAAGTGCCTGAAGTAAAATATTGGATTTATGCTTTCTCATGAAGCTTATTTGGTGCCTGTGTGGTGAGGCAGAAATTAAACAAAATTACATGTCAGGTTGTGATAAGTACTATGAAAAAGAACAGTCTCTTTACCCATAAAGAGACTAGAGAGTGACAGGTGGGTGATATTCTTTTCTGAATAGAGTGGTATGCAAAGGCCTTTCTTAAAAGGAGGCATTTAAGAGGGGATCTCCTGAAGTAAGAGGCAAGTTATGAAGAGCTTTCCAGATGTGTAGAGGGCAAGCAGTGCAAAGGCCTAGAGGCAGAAGTGTACTTGGTATATTTGACAAGCGTCACTGTGGCCAGGGTGCCTGGAGTACAGTGGGCCAGGAGGAAAGAGGTAGGAAATGGGTTGGAGACAAAGGCCTAGAGGCAGAAGTGTACTTGGTGTATTTGACAAGCGTCATTGTGGCCAGGGTGCCTGGAGTACAGTGGGCCAGGAGGAAAGAGGTAGGAAATGGGTTGGAGAAGAAACAGGAGTCTTGTGGCCTTTGGGATAGATTTTGGCTTTTATTTTTTGATTAAATGTAGAGGAAGTACTTATGTTTTAACAAAACCACATTGGCTGCTGTTTCAAGAGTAGAC